TAGTATTATAGATTCCTCTCCGCCTTATTAAGGGGAGCCTAAAGCCCCTGTTAGTAGGGCAGGTGCGTTGTTACGCATGCCTTCTACAGCAACGTTAGGTTAGGTAGGATTTCTAGACATTACATAATCTAGTAACTAGTTGCCTTTAACGTAGGTATAAGGGAGAGCGATTTAAATGTAAGAAGGTTACTTAGGTAAGTAGTTAATAATTAGGTAATAGAGATAGAAGAGATAGTATTACAGGATAGATAGTTAGAACTAGTCTAACATAGATAAGACGAATTGCTAGTAAGCCTAGCTTACACTAATTTAGGAATATATACCTAATTCTACGTGACTCTTAGCCTACGTAATCTACTAACACTAACCCTAGGTCCTTCTGTCCCCTAGGGCCTTACATTAGGACTTTATACGGGAGCGTATACAGAAGCGTATACGGGAGCATAAGGAGCATATACAGGAGCGTAAGGAGCAATAGGGCAATTATTATATAATTATTACGCAAAGGCATAGTGTTTTAACTATAAGTTAACCTACGCTACCCTATTTCTGTATAATAACAACGCCGTATTAACACCTACTATACAGTAATTAACTTACTAACGCCTGTTTAGTTATCCTACTTTATGTAATTAATAATTTATCGCGTTAGTTTGCTGTATCTACGCGTTTTACATAATATATTATTAACCTTAACCTCTAGCGCGCAGACTATATCCTAATAAACCTATCTAACACAAATATAATATTGCGTACGTACGCCGCAACAAGATTAATTAAACTAATATCTATAGTAACAGAAGAAGCCTTGCAAGTTACTGTAACAACACTAAGATACGCCGTAATTTAGGAAATACCTATAGTTCTGCTAGGTTATAATATCTTAATTATTCCTCCTTAGCTAGGCCTTTAACTAATAGAAGGATTGTTTAATTAGATTGTAATTAGGCGAATACAGTAGCAAATACTTAAGGATAACTCTAGCCTTATTATAAAGCTCCTGTACTTAAGGAGATTAATAGATAGACGCGTTATCTAATATAATAATTAAACACGCTAATAGATATTAATTATAATTAGGCAACACCTAATATCGTTAATATAATAATTAAATACGGCAAAGGATATTAACTGCAACTGCCTAAGGGATATTAATTGCAATTACCTAAGGGATATTAACTGTAATTACCCGAGAGATATCAACTGCAATTGCCTAAGGGATATTAATTGCAATTGCCTAAGGGATATTAATTATAATTACCTAAGGGATATTAATTGCAATTGCCTAAGGGATATTAATTACAATTGCCTAAGAGATATTAATTATAATTACCTAAGAGATATTAATTGCAATTGCCTAAGGGATATTAATTGCAATTGCCTAAGAGATATTAATTGTAATTGCCTAAGGGATATTAATTGCAATTGCCTAAGAGATATTAATTACAATTACCTAAGGGATATTAATTGCGATTGCCTAAGGGATATTAATTGCAATTGCCTAAGAGATATTAATTGTAATTGCCTAAGGGATATTAATTGTAATTGCCTAAGAGATATTAATTACAATTACCTAAGGGATATTAATTATAATTACCCCTTACCTAATATTATAAAAAGTGCTTAAAGATCTTAGCTGTAATTAACCCCTAATATATTGTATGGCTAAGATATCCGTTAATTATTATCGCCAGGAGCAAACTCTATCTCTCTAAGCGTTTAACAGAGTAGGAGGCAGCACAAGGCCTATTTACTAGAGACTACCTACGCTTCCTATCGCCTATACGTTTATTAGCTGCTAACTCGTTAATACAGACTACCTAATTAGGTCTCTATCCCTAAAGGCGTGCCTGCTAGGTTATTAATATTATAATTAATTAGGGGGCGTAGAGTTAAAGGCCTGCCTTAAATACTTAGCGGAGAGGCTTACTACGCTTACGCGCGGATCATTTAGCTACCTTATAACTCTACTTAATCTCTGCTAAGAACCTGCCTATAGTCCTATAGCTTATATATAGGGTAAACTTATTAGATAGGAAGCTTTAGAGCTTATCTAAATATAACGTCTTCTTAATAGAGATATACTTAATTAGCGCCCGTTTGTGTATCTCTAATAAATAAGGCTCTAGCCTAGGCTAGATTTAGTAATTAGATAGAGGATATAGTAATCTGTATAATTTAAGGCTCCTTTAGATTGCCCTAATACACTTTAGCAATACTCTAAGCTCCCTTAATATCCTACGTTGCGAGTAATTGCCCTCTAGCCTTATTAACACCCTACTTAGCATGTCTAGTTTAAGTTAATTACCCTTATAGCCCTCCTTTTGCTCCTTCTTGTGCGCTATACTGTATTAGGAAATAACAGTAAATAATTATTACTCTAAATAAGGACATACAGCACTACAAATACGACAGAATTATATAGTTTTATTAGTTTTATTATTGCCCCTATAAAATTATATAATAATTAATAATCTTACGGAAAATCTATTTATACTCCCTTGGCGCGGGGTGAGGACCAACATCTTGCGTGTCACAATAGCGCTGCAGTTGCCGAGTGCACGCGCCGTTACTCGCAGCACATACCACCTCGCAGATTATGCACGAGAGTTTTTCGAAAATTAATTGCCAACGAACGCAACTTAAAAAAACCCCCCCATAGTGAATTATGTTAAATTAGATGACAGAAGAAGTGCAAAAAAAAGCATATAGACCAACAAACTCTCTGGCGGGGAATCGAACCCCGGTCTCCCGCGTACGTAATCATTTACTAAGTTGATGACAAGCGGAAATCATGACCACTAGACCACCAAAGATGATAGATGCTTATTTGAATTATAGAAGAGCTGGAAAACTTCTTGTACATATCCTACAGCACGCAGTTCAAAAGAATGCTGGAAAGATGTGTGGGCCGGTGGGGCTGGTGGATCGTGCGCGGGGCAGAGAGAGCTTTACCCATTCGAGCTAGCATATAACATGCTAACTACAGTACAACATCTTTTCGCCGCGCTCGTTACCGTAGTAGTGACAAGTGGAAATCATGATCACTAGACTATCAAAGATAATAGATGCTTATTTTGTATTGATGAAGTTCGTGGATAAATGTGAATAAATGCATACAAAACCAAAGTCCTGTGTGCATAATCACTGACAATGTCAATAGGAGAATGTCAAGGTTAATCACTGGCTAGCTTGTGAAGATATCATTGGTATTGACTTACTTAACTTCATTCATTCCCAGATGGTGACCATGAAACGCGTCGACACATCACTAAGGGCTATAAAAGCCACTGAATCCCGCGGAATAACCACATCTACCCATTTCCTTGACGACTTACCAAACAAAACAAGCTGCAAAGAGTCCCTATACGTAGATACCACAGCTTCGCAAAGATGCCTCGCTCTCGCCCTCGTCCTCGCGCCCTCCCACCCCAAACTCTGCGCCCAGATTGGTTCAGAGTCCTGAAAGAAATAGCCCCAGGCCAAGGCGGCATGAACAGCGGCATCCTAGTCGTCAAGCACAGAACCACGGGGGATATATGCGTGGAGAAGAAATTCTCGGGAGATATGATCCGCGGCCATCTAGCCCAGCGAGAAATCAGCCTGCACAGGAAGCTGGACCACGAGAACATAGTGAAGTTCTTCGAGTGCGATTTCAGTCAGGATGGGATACGCGCCAGCATGTGGCTCGAATGGTGTCACGGCGGTACCCTCGGCGACCTCGTCACGCGCCATCGAGACGCGCAGCAACGAGTGGTGGTGCCCATCGACGAGCAGTTCGTGTGGAAGGTGTTGATGGATGTTGCGAGGGCGCTCAAGTACTGCCACTTTGGACCCAGGGATTCGAATCGGCACTGGACGCCCGTCATTCATAAGGATCTCAAGCCGGACAATATCTTCTTTTCGTGGAGAACGCATGACCCCTGGTATCCGCGCATCAAGCTGGGAGATTTTGGTACGAATATTGAAGCTCAGCACAGGTGTCCAGTCACGCACGTATCAATATATATATGTATTGAATATCCTTCCACAGTTACCTTACTAATTACCTTCTAGTAAGCAAAGCGTTTTACCAAGACGGTCTCTACATTTGACCCTCTGTATGGATCTTCTTATTGAGCGTTTCGCTAACTATTCTGCTTCAATGATCCAGGGCTGTTTTGTGCAACCTGGGCGCTCGCAGCAGTATCTACACGGCGCTGGAACTCCCGGATTCTGTAAGTCACCTCCGCATTACAAGCACATGAGATGATATTACACCATCTCCCACTGCCGCCAGATAACACCCAGTCCATCGTGTTCGACTTGCAAATGTACTAATTCCGTTCTCCACTCTCAGGCCCACCCGAACACCCCCAATCCTCGTCAGAAGGCGATGTCTGGCAGTTGGGCACATGCATACTCTGTATGTGCATTTTGCAGTACCCTCCATTCCATTCACATCAACCCGTCGCACACTATCATCCATCTTTGCACGAGATCATTGGGAAATGCTTGCGACAGAACAGATCCCAGCGTCCAAACTCGGCGCAACTAGTGAGTATTGGGCTAACTACTGGTCGTAATCTCCAAGATTACTTCGCCCACAGACGACTCGTGCAGCCTTTGTTTCCCTCACGAGATCTTCCATCGTGGGCCTCGAGATAGGTTAGGTGAGCTATTGATAGAACATTTTCAGTGAACCTAATTCCTTAACTAGTTAATGGAAACCAGGTCCACTCGGAAGGATCTATTCACTGATTTGTGAGTCCCGAGAGGTGGGCGAGGTGTTTGAATGGTATGGAGGTAGATGTGAGCTGGGAAGTCAAGTTCATATGATCGAGTGAATTGAGTATTTGATTGGTGTCTTCTTTATCTATATAACAAAAGAGATTATATACTGCTCCAACGGAGCTGAAGAACGTCTATCCAAAGATCCAAGGATCGTGTAATCTGGCTCTTGGATTACGAACCATCAGGTCATCTTCATGTGACCGAGCTTATGCGTGACTGCGCAGAAGATCACATAGATCAGGTAAGCACCCTACGCGACACCTATGTAGATTCTCAATCTTCTATTTGAATGGCGATTACGAAGGGGGGTATGGAATCATACAATGCGTTATCAGCGGCGAAAAGAGGTGTGCAAAACGATGCCAACGTAAAGTAGCGGAGTATGACACTTTGGCGAGAATATTAGGTGACAACTCAAGAGACTGCTGAACAGTCGGAAGTTGTTTCTTTTTTTTTCGTTGTCTTGAACAACTCTTATTCCAGCTTCTTCAAGATATCTTGCACTTCGGCACTGATTTGTGGTATCCCAAGCCCACACCACTTCGCTGAATAACTTGCAATATTTGCGTAATTGTTACCCACATTCCCTAGCTCATTAATCATCTTTTCCGCTTTCCTCAGCTCGCCTTGTAGTATCACACGTCGTAAGCTTGTTTGATCTTCTAGATCCAAGTCGTAAGCGCTCACTTGTACTGATTTTGGATGCACACCAAAGTGACCAACTTCCGATGAAGGAGCCAGTTCATGTATCGAGCTTGTTTGTGAAGTTTTGTTTGCCGCGGCTGCTACGCGATACTAGAACACAACTTTCCACAGTATCGAAGTGTAGAGGAAAGCGAGATGTGGACACAGAGCACATGGACATTTCTTCAAGTCAGCCCAGCCCAACCGCCGAGGGCTTTTCTTTTTCTTAGAAAGGACTTTGTCAAAGTTGGGAACCAAAACCAAGTCCACCACTAATGTCGTCAGAGAGGGTGAGTCTAAATCCGAGCTTACTGATGTGATCCTTGACACCTGCCGTATAGTGCTGCAATGAGCGAAGCACAGCTATGGCGTGGGCCTCGCAGTCATGTTCAACGATAGTCTCCCATGCCTTGCTCGTTTCGTTCGAATCCCTCCGCATACTGATGTCAGGACTCACAGTCTCTGCCAGTGGCTCAAACGACGAGGTCCCAAAGTCTCCGAGATCGAAACTCGGCTACAGAGTTGTGAAGGGAAGACTTTCCATATCCCAAGATTGTTCATCTATTATTTATCAGTGTTGACGTAGTATCCATTGGCTGATCTGTAACTTCGGATTGTGTTCCCGTTGTCATTGGCTGCAATAATGCTGCCGCCGCTGCCTTCTCACGCTCGCATGCCATCCGCTTTGCCAACGACTGTTTGTCATATCTCCGGAAGACACTGTACGTGCATTGAGAGAGGCCATTCTTTGTGCATCGATCGCAGATGGGAGTTTTCTTATCACATTTCATCTTTGCTGCCGAGCAACTGTCGCAGGCTAGACGCAACCGAGCATTACTTGGCCTTGGTGCAATGGTTGACATTGTGCGATGCTGCTCAACACATTTGAAGTCTCGCGGGCATATATGGGTTAACCACTGGTAGATAGTTCTCGAGTTGACACGAAAGTGGAGGAGCAAGAATTGAGCGCGAGGAGGTTGGTTGGAAGGAAGGGCTATAGATCTGACAACTGCAGATGGACCGTGCACAGCATCTGCCGACCAATGGGTCTCCAGCATCATGCCCGTTATCAAGAGCTACCTAGGTACGGTAACTTCTTACGTTTAAATGCTGCTGGACGCATGGCGGAGAGGTCAAACATTCTTAGAAATGTCAACAACTGTATTGAGACGGGGCAGAATGTTCCTCTCTTCATTCTGAAGTGCACCAGCTTTCATTGTACAGAAAAAGTTCAATACAGTGGACCTAGGTACGTTCGAAGAGAGCAACGGGCATAGGGTAAAGAGATTCACTTGACTGTGTAAAGCAGCTCTATATATCTGCCAACCATGCCCTTACAAAGACGTCTATTTATCTCTTTGGATATGCTAGAATAAAGCGTGATAACACTACCGGTATATGTACGCAATATGCTACCTATGTACATGCAACTCGCACAACCAACCTACTGGGAAAGACAAAGCTTTCCTATCACGATTACCCACCCAAACGCCGCATGGAGCCAAGAGGAGAACATAATATTTCATAATCCTTCTGCACTGCCTGTGTAGAAACCATCAACCTTAATCTACTAATCATTAAATACGAAGAATAAAAACTCCTATTAGCGAGAGTCGCGCCAAAATGTTTCCTACTCATACAGGCAATGTTGCATTGTTATACACTGAGACTGCCTCTAAGTGTATCTCCACGTCTCGCCCGAAGGAAGTGTTTCCCCTGTCTTCAATGGTCCAAGCGGAGGCAACGTTGCCCGACTCGCCGGCCCCTTCCCGTCATCGCTGATAGGGCTGTACTCCGGCCTCTTTGGACTACTTGCAGCATCACTCAGCGGACTAGGTATCGGTCGTTGAGGTTCGCTCGGTAGCGGAAGAGGTGGCGGTGTGTGATTACGTGCAGACGATGTGTTACTGAACCGCAGCTCATGGTTCATATTGGATGGGCGTGGCGGAGGAGGCTGTGGCGATTTGTGCGTCGGGGTCGGAGAAGGCGCCAAGCTAGGTTGGGATGGCGATGCACTGTTGTAGGATAGCTGCTTTACTTTATGTTCCCATTGCAACATGCCGTTGCGGGGAGGTCCGGGCGCCTTGGAGAGCTCACGCTGGAAGGCGTCTTGTGACTGGAACTGAAGCACTGGTCTTGAGCTAGGCGGGGGTGGCGCCAGTCCTCGATTGTACGTGTGACCTGGGCCTGGAGTTGGCATGATTGGCCGGGTAGATGGTGACGGCCGTTGTGCAGTGGGACTGGGGCCTGTACTGGGGCTGCCGTGGGAGACCTGGGGCATCCATTCTTTGGTGAACCCACCGATTGGACTATAGGGTGATATGTAAGTATTTGCACGCCGTAAATAAGCGTTCAGGAG